CTTTTTATCACTAAAGGACCCTATATAAAAACAAACATCATTAATCACACCATCATTATGATAATAATATAGTAGTAGTACCTGATAAAGAATGGAGATTGATTTCTGATTCCGATGCCAGGCTAGAAGGAAAAGAAAATCTGGACATAGAATAAGATGAGCTCTCACTGTACTGGTGTCTTAAACTAATGAAAGATGTAGACGCAACTAGCTCACTTGTTGCTGAAGGAGTTGCTATCGGTAAACTAATAGTAGAGCCATGTGTGTAACTCCACCTCTCTCTTGACCTTCCGTAAAAATGACTTGGTGTTGAAGTCAATGAGGTAGCTACTAGTTCAGTGTACATGGCATTTCTGGGGCTAGAAGATACACGTTTGGGCAAAGTCTTTTGATTAAACACTATTTCGCTTGAGCTGGCACTAGAAATCATAGAACTTGTTTCTGAATGAGTTCGTGAAGCAAAAGATGAATGGACTGAGAGAATAATATTCTTTCTGATTGAAGATGTCACTTCGCAAGCTTGCATTCTATCCTCATATTTCTTCTTTGATAATCTTTGATTGACTTTCTTTATGAGCTCTTCCAGATTCACTTCTTTGTACTTTTTTGCAAAGTGCCTGATGCCAGTAACTAATTCGTTGATAAACCAGCTACCATTAACACAATGTCTTAGAGCTTCATGTTCATCGATTGTGGCAAAAGCATAAAAAAAGTCAATTCTATCAGGAGTGCTGGTATCAATCTGGACACCTGACAAGCCACCACCGTCATGTGATAGTGATAAACCATGTATCATAGAATCAAGACTACCACCTGATTTACTATCAGTAGAGACAGTTTTATTATGCTTAGAACCACGGCAGGCTTGAACAATGAAAACCTTAGGCTTGTTGGCAAGTGTGGGGCACATTCCTGATGTGAAGTAATCCGAGATCTCACTTATTTTAATTGATCGACTATCGGAAGTATAAATCACATTCCCAAAATCGCCATGACTAAGTATAACAATAAAGAATGCATCATAGGCCAAATGGTTGATCTCAAAAAATTTGATCAGCACTTGGTGTAGTTCCTGCAGAGTTGGATCTGTAATCATGGTCACTTGAAAGTTGAGAACATTTTCAAACACATCCTTAATGCTAGCAGCATCTATGTTACTTCCAGGCCTGTCCTCGTGCCTTTCGAAATGAACTATATTGATAAGTAGGCAAAGGCCCTGAGGGATAGATCTCATAGGATAGTCTGAATGATAAAAAAAGAACAGAAAGTAAAATTGCACTGTTTAAATAA